CGAGCCGGAAGTGGAGCCGGCGCTGCTGACGTTGTAGGGGCTGTAGTAGCCCTTGCTGGACTGGGAGGAGGCCTCCAGCAGCCGCAGGCCGGTCCCGTCCTCGATCATGCTGCGGTCCATCGCGTCCTTGTAGGAAATCTTGAGCTTGGTTTTGGGGCAGGTGAGATACTTGGAGTAGGTGTTCACGTCCCGCAGCTTCTGGGCCGTGCGCGTGTCGATGGTGCCCTTCTGCAGCGCCTCGTCCAAGGAGACGCGGCCCTCGACGTCGGGCTCGATCAGGCCCCCTGTCAGGTACTGCACCTCCAGGAAGCGCTGCCCGGCCTCGTAGTACAGCCAGCCCTTCTTCAGGGCCTGGGCCGCCGACATCTTCGTCTTGGTCCGCGGGTCCTCGAAGCCGTAGAAGGCCTTCTGTGCCAGGTTGATGCGGTCCACCATGATTTTGTCGACCAGGCCCTTGTTGACCGCGTCGGCGACGGAGCATTTATCCCCGGTGTTGGGGTCGATGATGCCCCCGGTGCAGGCCTGGGCTTCCAGCAGCCTCTGCCCCGTGATGTTGTCCACGAGGTTGCGGCGCATCGCCTCCGTGATGGACACCTTCTCCAGCGTGTCCGTGTCCAGGATGCCGGCCACCGGCCCCGTCTCCTCGGTCGGGTCGCTCCACATGGAGATCTGCGTTCGTGTCGGGGCCGGGCTGACGGTGTAGGAGGAGGACGATCCCACGGAGGACGACCGCGACCGGAAGCCACTCATGTTGCCGGAGAGCATGTCCGCAAACTCAGTGATGGAGAGGGTGCCCGAGCGGTACTGGTCCAGGGCCGACTGGTCGATCAGGCCCTTGCCGATGGCGTCGTCGATGTCGTACTGGCGCCCCGAGCGCCTGTCGATGATCATCGACTTCACCACGCCGTCGGAGGAGGAGGTGGTGATCTCCTCCCACTCGCACTCCTGCTCCGACAGCTCCAGGTAGGTCTGGTGGTCGATGAGGCCCTTGCGGTAGGCTTCGTACACGGACATCTCCTTGCCTGTCTCTGGGTCGACGATCACCACCCTGCGCTTGCGGACGGAGGACTTGGAGGAGGTCTTCCTCTCCCGCTTCTTCTCCTTCAGGGGCAGGAGGCAGAGGCCGGTCTCCGAGTCGGTGATGCACCGCTCCATGAGCTGCAGGTAGGTGAGGTTCTCCTCTGTGTTGGGGTCGAAGAAGCCCTTGGTGTCATCGCTGGGATCCAACAGGATCTCGTTCATCTCCTCGTCAAAGAGGCCCCTCTTGTAGGCAATTTCCACGGGGAGGCGGTGGCTCTCCTCGGGATCGATGATGCCTCCCGTGGCGATCTGGGCCTCGAGCAAGCGGATCCCGTGGTCCTTCAGGATCAGACCCTTCTTCATGGCCTGGAAGAGGGAGATGAGCTTTCCGGAGTAGGGATCGCGGTAGCCGGTGACCGCCCTCTCAGCGGAAAGCAGCTTGTCCTTGAACTCAGGGCCCACGATGCCCATCCGCACAGCTTCCTCCACCGTCAGCTTGAGGCCCTTGATGGGGTCAATCACGTACCCCGTGGCTGCCTGCGCCTCCAGCAGCTCGAACGCGGTGCCTGGCCTGATGATACCCTTCTTCATGGCCTGGTACACGGACAGCCGCTCCTTCGTCGAGTCCACGAAGACGCCAGCGATGCAGCTGGTGCCCTCCAGGAACTTCTTCAGGTTCTTGGAGACCTCCTCGATGGAGGTGAGGCCCTCCTGCAGGCGCTGCGCAGTGGCTTCGTCCATCACCTGCGAACGGACCAGCTCCTCCACGGTGATCTGCTTCCGCAGCCCCCGGAAGGTGAGCTTCCTCGTGTCGCAGAGCGGGAGCAGGAGGAGCCCGCTGTTCTCGTCCTTCCGGCACCGCTTCAGCAGCTGCGTGTAGCTGAGCTTCTCCTCTGTGGACGGGTCCACATAGCTTCGCACCTCGCTGGGCTCGGACAGCATGTCGTACGTGTCCTTGTTGATGAAGCCCCGCTGGTAGGCCACCTCCAGGGGCAGATGGAAGCCCAGGTGCGGGTCGATGATGCCACCGGTGGCGATCTGGGCATCCAGGAGCTTGAGGGCCTCTTCGCTGGGAATGAGGTCTTTCTTCATGGCCTGGAAGATGGAAATCTTCTGTTCGCTGTACGGGTCTCTGTAACCGGTCACGGCCCTCTCTGCAGACAGGAGCCGGTCGTGGATCTCGGGCCCCACCACGCCTTTCCTGACCGCTTCGTCAACGGTCAGCATCTCATTCTTCGTGGGGTCGATCATGAAACCGGTGGCAGCCTGGGCCTCCAGGAGGGAGCGGGCCACTTCGGAGTTGATAAGCCCCTTCTTCAGCGCCTGGTAGATGCTGAGCTTCTGCTTGGAAGAGGGGATGTAGATGCCAGCCACGCAGCCCGACCCGTAGAGGTACTTCCAGATCGCCTCCACGTCCAGGAGCTCCCGGAAGGTTTTGGAGCCTTGCTTCAGCAGGTTGTAGATGTCTTGAGAGATGATCTTGGCCTCGTAGAGGTCCTCGGCCGTGATGCGGCGCCGGACGTAGTCATAGGACATGAGATTCTGCTGCCTGATGATCTCAGTCTTCTCGATGATCTCGATGATGATGATGATCATGCGCTCCTTGGACACGCGGCCCGACTGGAACTCCTCCATGAGCTGCTTCCGCTGCTCCTCGGGCAGCAGGTCCGAGTGCATGATCTCCCACAGCGACATGGAGGAGCCCGCCCTGCTGCCCACGGGGATGTCCACCTGCGTCTCCTCAAACACCTTCCGCGTCTCAGCCTCTGTGTACACCTGGGTGGTCTCCACAACCGCAGGCTTCTCGGGCTCCCGCAGCGGCAGCAAGTACAGGGCCGCCTCAGGG